GTCCCCTACTGTTACATAGATTCATCTTAAGTGGTCGTGACCGCAAGACGGCGCCAGCGAGATTCGAAAGCCAACCGTTTAGTCAAAACCAAAGCAGTTAGCCAATTCGCTAGCGAGTTTGCAAATTGGCAGCCCCAATATTTCTGGGACTTGCTGTAAATCAGAACGTTACTACAATGTATGTTTTACGTGTCAGCTTTTCTTTATGTCAAAGTTCAGTCAAATATGCAACAACTTACCACCGAGAACAGTATCACTTTGAGTCTTCCAGTATATCCCTCCGAGCTTTCTGTAGCGATGCTATCAGCTATAATTCCACCGGCAACGGAGCCACATAGCCCGCTAATAACTGGTATCCAACTCAAGAAATGTTCAGTGGGGTAGTCCTGGTAGTAGTGAGTAATGTAGTTCTGAATGTTGTAATAAAACGTGTGCCCGCCCCCACATCGTATCGCTCCGCCGAGGAGGAGAGCAGCGAAGAGGCTGTTACAAAATGGCGCTGGCGACAGAATTTGATTGTTTGACGGTTTAGTTTGCATGATCGCGGTTGTTGGTCCACTATTATCGGTGAATTGTCGTAACTGTGGAGATCAATGAAAACAATTTCTTTATATAATTTAATCGTCAAAAGTCTACGCTTGAATATAAACTTTTGAGTTGGCAGTGGATTTCTAACTTCCGATAAATGATGTCTGGAATCAATGAATAATGCAAGAAACAAATTGATGCCCACGTGCTGAAATATTGTAAAACTATTTACAATTTGGTATATAGAAGACGTCGGCGTCATAACAACTAATGATAAAAGATCGCAGTGAAATAAATCTACCATTTTCTCGAAAAATTGGCGAGTGACTGTTTTCAAAGTCAATATTGACCGAAATTATTTAATAATTACAAAATGAATAAACCATGGACATTTTCTACCTCAAACTGTCGCGATGTAATCAGGTGGGAAGATGGCACTCACATTCATTGTGTAAGTTTTCGAACATTAATTTAAATGTTTGTCATTCAGTAGCAATAAAATAATCTAAAATAAGTTGCAGTTTGTATGACTCATCCATATATTAGAAATAATAGTTCTATTAAAATTGCAAAAAAGAGAGTTATTAAAACAATTGGACAGTGAGTATCTTTCGTTTGGTCTGGAGATGATCTTTGGGAACAAGCTTTTGAATAGTTTTTGTAAGTGAGATCACATTCACAAACATATGAACATAAAACACGCCACACTAAGAAGACTCACTCTCCGTTACGTCACATTGCACTGTCACAAAAAGGCAGTTAGAAATAGCGCGTAGTGAATGCGCTCTTACAGTGACTAGATATACATGCGCAATTCCAATTTCCGATGACACAAACAACGTACAGAATTACTCTGCACTCACACAAAGCCTAATACTAATCATAGTCAGAATGAACTTCCCCACGAAAAAAATATGTCCACAGTGGAAATAATCGACATAACTGTCATGAATTTGTTTTCGCGTATCTGTTAATCGACTTAATTAGCTGATTATTAGCGAATTGCTGTGTTATGTCTGTCATCGTTTAGGCCTATTTGAAGTTTTGGACGGAACTTGGCTCAGTGATTTGGAACTAATTACCAGATAACCGCCGCTATTCAGACTAATCATTCTGACAGTTTATATTCATAGTTATTAATGTAGTGAACGATTAATCAAAAGATATGACGTATTCAGTACTTAGTGTGATTGGCTTTATGATTGAAGGTTACGCCCTAGAGTCTTTTTACTGCTTTGTAATTGGTTAGAGTTTTGAAAATGAATAAAGAGAGTTTGAGTTGGTCTTGGGGAGCACAGACGATAGACGCAGTCCTGGGCAGTCGAATGCAGTCCTGGAGAGACTTGGGGCGACCCTTGACGCAGTCTTGGGCTAGTCTTGGGTCAGCCTTGTGATAGTCTTGGGGATTTTTTCCCCAGGGTGCTGTGTCTTATAGAGTGCTTGATTGACCGACTAAGACGAGAGCTGAAACGTATTTCGTTGTGTGTGTCTTATTTGACGGTAAAGTATAAGTGACATTTCCCGATCCCGTACCTCAAGGGGACGAGATAGAGAGACGAGACGAGATTTCCCTCTGACATAACATACACATTTCCCACATGTACATGAAACACAAGCTGGGAGTTTCTGCATGTCGGTTTTAACTTAAGCGCTCAACAACAGTGAATGGTAAACCATAGACAGAGGGTCTATGGGTAAACATTGTGAGCGTGTGTAATAAAATGCGTAATTGGTTACACTTGCAATTTCACAAAGTAATCTTAGACATGAATTTCCAGACTGACGCATGGAATAAAAACAAACGATCGCGATTATGTATAAATGACTTCATTGTGTGAAAAGATTGCAGTCTAATGACTTAACGCACCTCTCTGGATGGTTCCCTCACCGTACAATAAGTTACAATTCCAAGAATAATTCCTGGCAATCCTGTCACGGTATATGCCAATCTCCACCCAGCATGCACTGCAAAGACCTTCATTATGAACGCCATACTAAAACCGATATGTACACCCAACATAAATATACTCATCGCCATTGCTCGTAAATTCTGTAACACAAAACAATTTACAATTCTGAATTAGTTCATATTAATTGTAATTTATATATACCAATCATTAATTCTATGATCATTCTAAGGAGATGCATGTTACGGTGATTTACATAATGTTAGTCAAGACAGTTATGAATCCAAAAATCTTCAAACAAGACATCCAAATGTGTACAATCTGTAAACTTGTAATTTTTACAACGACTATATGTATATATGAATATATAATTCATTCATGTCATTTGTATGTATTAATGCACAGAGCGATTGGTCCATGTTAGTTATATGTATTAATGCCCAGAGCGATTGGTCCATGTCAGTTATATGTATTAATGCACAGAGTTATTGGTCCATGTTAGTTATATGTATTAATGCACAGAGCGATTGGTCCATGTCAGTTATATGTATTAATGCACAGAGTGATTGGTCCATGTTAGTTATATGTAATAATGCACAGAGCGATTGGTCCATGCCAGTTATATGTATTAATGCACAGAGCGATTGGTCCATGTTAGTTACTGTAAAGGGGGTAATTATTCACTGGGTTTTAATTTAGCTTATTTCGATGACTGGAAAATGCACTAAATTAAAACACAGTGAATATGTAAAATTTAGCATAGAACACATTATCTAAATGAAGAAACCGTGAATTTAAAACCCACTGAATATGCCTGA